CATCTTAGGCATAATAAGGAACAGGTATTTTTCATCAAGTATTGATATGTTGAACTTTAAGTCCCTACATAATATGATAAAAAACATTTAAAAATTAGATTATATTTTAAAAAATAGGATAAAGAATTCTATGCTTCTCATCCTACCTGTTCTTTCTAACATGACATCCTCTCACCAACTACTCATGCTAGTCTTAGAGTTTCACAGAAAGTCATGCTCTTTCGTTGAAATTCAACATACCTGTTCACCCTTCAGATCTCTGGCTGCCTTTTCCGATCTAAGTTATTTTCATCTTGCTTTTTTAACTCCATGAATTGTTTGCATTTTGTTTCCTTTATAAGTACCACAGGTTAGGTTTTGTTTCTTTTTACCTGATACATGCCTATCATATAGCAGAGGCATATTATTTCAATTAACAAATATCTATAGTTTAAATGTGTCCCCTCAAAGTCCTTGTTTTAGAAATGTAACCCCAAAATTTATATTTGAATGTACTTGGAGGGAGGGGGGTTTTGGGTTGAGGTAATAAAAGTGGGGCTCCCAAGATGGTAGCAGTGGCTTTGTGAGAGCGATCCAGGCAGAAGTGTGGTCTGTCTTGCCATGTGATGCCACCCATCATGTTGCGATGCAGTAAGAAGCCCTCACCAGGTGTTAAGATTATGCTCATGGACTCTCCAACCTTCAGGATTATGACTCAATAAATTCTTTATAAATTATCTGATCTGAGGTGTCCTGCTAGAGCAACAGAAAAATGAACTAAAATGTTGAATAAACAGTTGTGTCATTTAGAGCTGTTTTTGTGTGTCCATCTTCATTGTGATGCTATCAATTGTGGTGGGAGGTGTGACACTGAGAAAAATTTGGGACAAAGAGGCCAAGTGAAAGATAATGAGAGAGAAGAATTGTAAGACAGTAATGGGACAATAAAAGGCAAGGAAGGGCATTATAGTGGGTTGAATGGTAGCCACACCAAATATAAATTCGTATCAAATTGCTAGAAGCTGTGAATATTACTGTATTATTTTCCTAGGGTTGCTGGAATAAAGTACTACAAACTGTGTTGCAAAACATTTGGTTTCTTATAGTCTGTGAGGCCACAAGTCTGAAATCAAGATGTTGGTAGGGTTTGTTCCCACTAGAAGCATTGAAGTAAGCTGTTCCATGTCTCTCCCAGCTTTTGTGTCATTGCTGAGCACTTATGACATTTTTTGGCTTGTAGACACAACAATCCAACTTTTGCTTTCATCTTCATATAGTGTTCTCTGTGTGTGTGTCTTACGGGTTTTGACAAGACATTTCTGTCAGAACACCACTCACTGACTTTAGGACCTGCCTTAACCCAGTGTGGCCTCATCTTACCTAATCACAAAACACAAAGATGTTGATTTACAACTAAGATCAAATTCTGAGATTTCAGTAGGTCATGAATTGTGGCTCGCTCTCCAACACAGTAACCAATTTGGAAAAGTTATCTATGTAGATCTAATTAAAGGATCTTGAGAGGTCTTCTAGATCTGAGTAGAATGTAGATACAATGACAAATGTCTATGAGGCACACACACAATATGAGGTCCAATCTGATGACAAATGCAGAGACTGGAGTGATGTAACCACCAGACAGATACGTAGAGAAGAATGTAACGTGAACACAAAGAGGGAGACTTCAGCACAGCAGGCACAAACCAGGGAAGCTGAGGAATGCAGCCAGCCATTAGAAACTGGGGAAGGAATGTTGGATTCTCCTTCACTGTCCTCAGGTGTGTGGCCCTGCCAATATCTTGATTTTAGGTTTTTTGGGGGGGATATTTTTTCTTTTTATTTATTTACACTGACACATAACTAAATTTATGGAGTACAGTGTGTTATTTTGATACCTGTAAACAGTATAATGCTCAAATTACGGTATCTGATACATCTATCACTTCAAAAATTTCTTTTTCTTTTTATGAGTAGAATATATTTGAGGGAAAGAAAGCTCCTTGACAAGAAAGGGACAGGAGGGGGGCCCATGCAGGTAGTTCCCCCAAAATTGCTTTCTTTGTAGTGAAACATTCAAAAATCTTGTTTTGAAATATTTACTAAAATCACCCATTGTGAAAAACTTAGATAAGTATAATCACAGTCTGTGATGTGACTAAGAAACCTCTGTAACAGGTGCAATAGCAGTGTATTTTTGTAGAATCGCTGGGTTTCAGCCAGACAGCTGGGCTTCAGCCAATTTCATGCCCCCGAATGGTTCAGACCATGTCCAAAGGCCTCATCATAACCAAGCAAGTTATTTCTGTATTTTATATCTGTATGCAGCTATAAACACCCACTGCCATTGGTACTCAATGGAGCTCACTGAACCGCTTTCCATTTTTGCTGCCCAATTCAGAAACTGCTCTTTGCTCAAACTGTTAAAGCTTTTAACATTAAGAGCCCTATAGGTACCAAAAATGCAAAGCACACAGAATGCCATTATTTTTCACAGAATTAGCAGGTATGTATCACCTGTTTTGTTTTAGATTGTTTATTTATTTCACTGTTCCTTATTTTGAGTTGCTGGATTGTCCAAAACTTCAATCTTATCTTTTTCTTCTTCTCATTTAAAGGTTTAAGGTTATCCATGGTGGCTTCAAAGCCAACACTACCATCTTGATCCTCAACTCTGAACTGTATTTTGAACTATGTACTTCTGAATCTTTCTGATTCATTGCAAATAAGGGCACACTCATTTGAATAATTTTGCCAAGGTTCACATTAACATTTTCAATACTGAAATGACTATGGGGTGCAGCTTCCATTTCTTCTCTTAGTGTTCATCTGCCTGGGCAATCTGTGGTAGAAAGTTCTGAATTTGGTCTAGTAATGGATTCCTCTCTATGTAAATTGTTTGAAGAATGGAGATCTTTCTAGAATTAGAGTTGGTATTGATGAGAGTAACTTGTTCTCATCAGCTTTCACCTGTAGTCAGCAGTTCTTTGGACACTGAGACCCCCAAGAACTCTCAGGTGGGTTATGAAGAACTGGGGCTGGTGTGAGACTTTTTGAGGACCTCCATGCCTCTGCCAACACTTTGATTTTGGACTTCAGCTCTCCAGAACTGGGAGACAACACATTTTTCTTATTTGAAGGCATGCAGTTTTGGGTATTTGTTGCAGCAGCTGTAACACACTAATGCAAGCTTCAACTGAATAGAAGTTACAAGAAACTATTTTTTTTCAAGTAATAAAATGAACAATCTTTAGATTCTACCTTATACATATCAGTCATTAGTAAATAAGAATTTGTGAACAGCCATAAAATTAAGTCAACTTAATTTCTGTTATGATCTTTTAATACAAAAATATCCCTTCAATGAGTGAAATGTAAGTCCTTTTTTTCTTTTATTTTAAAGTGAGAAATGATAAACAGTCAAACAGTGAAACAGTTTTGAATCAAGTTAGGACAGTTAAAATAGTTTAGATACACTGCACTTTGTTGTCTTCCTGGTACTTATTCAAAGTATAAGACATAGGCATGACATCTTGAGTAAACACTATTAGCATGGAACCTTTTCAAGGAACTAAGAGAAGCTAGCTGTAGAACTATCCTAACTATCTTGTGATATATAATCTTTCTAAGCCCTTTTAAAAATTATTTTTTTTGGTACCAGGGATTGAACTCAGGACCTTGTGCTTGCCAGATAGGCACTTACTGCCACTGAGCTATCTCCCTGGTCTTTCTAAGCCTTTTTAACCTAGGAAGATACTAACAAAATATACATATAGTAAACTATATTTCATATATATTCACTTGTAACTGTCTTACAGTATCAGATTTTATGATAGCTCATGTGCTTCTTGAATTTATAAATTGTATTTCTGCCTCCCTATTAAATTCTTTGAGGTTAACTTTATTTTACATTACCTCAAGTGTAATTACATGACACTGGGTGTTGAATAACCTACAAACAACAACACAGCTGCTTAAGGCAGCCCAATTTCTGGATTAAAAATCTTGTCTCCAAGACAAATCAAAATTAAATAGGAACACTTGCACCACGTGGCCCTTTCAAGCTCTGAATTTAGAATTAGTTTAGCATCAACAGTCCCTTCCAAACCTTCCTGAAGTGTCACAATCATTCACGTGGCAGACGCCAGGCTGCTTCAACATGACACCAGTGTTCTTCACTTGGATGCTTAATGGGGAGGGGTTGATGCTCCTTCAGTCCTAAAGGCAGGAAGTCCGCTCCAGAAGCCATCAGTGTCACGCCGGCCATCAGGCAACGCTTCAGGCAGAACGCAGGGGCCGCACCTCAGGACCCCACGCCCCTCGGAAGGGGGTCCCTGGTCGCCTCCCTCGAGTAGCTGTGCTGCTGCCGGGTGGTCAGCCGGGGAGGAGTGTGGGGGGCGTGACCACACCTGGACTCGCGACTGAGCACCCAGCTTCGCCCACGTGCAACTTCTTGGGTTCACACACTCACTCGCCGACCTCCCGGCTCCCGGGGCCAGGTGCCGGCCGGGACGAGGGTCAGTGGAGCCCCCGTCCAAGGCTACCGACTCGCTGAGGTTCGGCCAGCTTTCCCGGAGGCAGCGGGAGCTGAAAGGCTTGGGCGTCTGCCGGGAATACCGCTCGCAGCCCACGCCGGGGGTCTCACCTCCTCCACTCAGGACCGTAGGACGCGCCGGGCAGCTCCCAGCAGCGCCGGCAGCGGCGGCCCCGCCCCGCCCCGTCCTGTGACGTCACTCCGGCGGCCAGTGGCACCGTAATGTCCCGAAGAGGTGCGCCACAAAAACCCTGCAGCGCTGCCGGTGCACCTCCCAGGGAGATACGGCGCGCCAACCCTGTCCGTGAGCGTCCATCCGGCCGAAGGGAGGCTCGCGGTGCGCGTAAGCTCTAGGAGTACGGGCAGCTGCGCGTGAGATTTGTTATAAGCAAGAGACCCGCTGAGTGGGGAGGCGGTGGCTCCTCACGCGCTTCCCCACTCTGTGTTTCCGAAGCGGTGGCAGGCCGAGGCAGCAGCAGGTCTTTCAGTCCTCAGGGGTGGCTAGCCTTTTTTCAGTCGTTTGCGCCAGCCAGGGTGGCCCAGGTGTCCGTTCCAGTTCATCTGTACTTGAGGACCCGCAGTCGGAGCGGCTCCGAGCGGGAGTGCGCGCCTCTTAGGCGGCGCGCGGTAGCAATGGCGGCGCTCTGTGAGACGCTCCCGTCACCGAGATCCACACTCCCAGCCCTCCGCCGAGCCGTCCGAGCCGCCCTCCGCTCTGTAGTTTACAAGTGGCAATTTGACTTGCTCTGCTGCATGTCTGGAGGCGCCAAGGAAAGTGTGGAGACGCCCCGGAGACTGAGGCATCGCAGTTTGCAAAGAAAAAAAGCCAAACAAATAAACAAAACCCACCCACCCTAGCAAGCATGAGGCTGCTGGAGAGGCTGAGGAAGGAGTGGTTCATGGTCGGGATCGTGGTGGCCATCGCGGGAGCCAAGCTGGAGCCGTCCGTGGGCGTGAACGGGGGTAAGCGCCCGCCTCTGCCGGCCGCACCGCCTGCGAGTGGTGGGAAGCGCCTGCCCCGTCTGGCCGGGCCAGCCCGGCGTGTCCCTGGGCTCCTTGGGCAGATTTTCTAATTCACCAGCCCTAGAGAGCACTTAGGATTAGGAGTGAGGCGAGGGAATGGGAGCGCAGATCGCCTTTGCTGCGAGCAATCAATGAGTAGTCTCACTGTCGCGGAGTGAAGTTACAGAGAATGAAACTTAGTCCTCTTGGCTTCCTAGCACCATCCCAGCCCAAGGGACTCAGGCTGCCAGCACTTTCTCATCTGTCTTGGAAACTGGACCTTATTCTCTGTTTATTTCCGATTCCTCCCCATTAAAAAAAAAAAAAAAAAAATGGAGGGGAGGGAGGGGGAGATATTCCCGACCCCAACTCA